TGGACAAAAAAAAAAAAAAAAATCCCAGCAATGACCTTATAGTCCTATTGAAATTCAGCGGCTTCCCCTACCTGTGGCATCTTTCATTAAGGTTTTGGTGAAGTATTCTTTCTAATTTGGTTTGATTTTGCTATGTGCAGCCAAGTTCCATTTTCTGGTCTGACTTTCTTGTGGCCTAAGTCTCCAGTGTTCCCCTGCAGATTCATGGGACAGTTTATTGGAATTGCCAAGCTGAGTACCTAGTTCTACCCATTGCACTCTGTATTGAGCCAGGCTAGAAAATGGAACCATCCTTAGACGATATCACTTGTCTCAGTTCACTGGTAAAATGATCATTTATTTCTTAAATGATTGTTACTTATGGTGGTAGTGACAAACAGCAAAGGAGACATTTGACAATGAAGTTTATTAGGGGTTGGTCTTTGGTTGTGATTTTTTTTTTTTCCTTTTTTTCTTTTCTTTTTCTTTTTATTTCTTTCTTTGTTGTCTCACACCACACTGACAAACATGCATTCAGGGAGGGAAGGAGAAGGGTCTCACTTTTGATCTGTCATGATCATGATGTAATGATACATGCCATGGAGGACTCTGGACACCAACCTCCTCCCTTCACTGCCATCACCACCACCAAGAAAAGAAACAACCCAAACCAAAAAGGCAACTCTAATATAAAGAAAGGAATGATGAGGCATAATAACCAAAATAAGGAGAATAATAATGCCCACAGGGAAGAAAGAGCACCCATACATCCACACACCCAATGAGAAGAACAGGGGGTAGAGAGAAAAAATGGACCACAGCGCATGCACACACTGCATACACTGACACACCCATGCAAAAATGATTGGGAACCAGGAGAGAAAGCAAAAGAAATAAAGGTAGGGGACTGGGAAAAGACAAGGAGAAATAAAGAAATAAAGGAAGTAATCAAAATCCACTTCACACTTACATGCACTGAACAACTGAAAAAGAAGATGGAAGTGGGTTGGGGATAAAAACACTCAAAACCATAGGGTAGTCTTCCCTGACTGTCACCTCCCTCACTGAAAAAAAAAAGAAAAGAAAAAGTCCAAACCCAACCCCAAAATAGATGAAGGATGCTAGGAGAATGAAAAAGAAGACTGGAAAAAAGAAAGAGAAAAAGTGTGATTGGATTGATGGTTGGTAGGTTGTTAGTAATGAGGAGTGAAATGAAAGAATGGATTCTGATGCCAATGGGGAAGTCCACAAGACGAGACAGGAACATGCCATGCAGAGTTGTACGGAGAACACAAGTGGCGGAGCTCCCTTTGGCCACGGTGGGGGAGTGAGGTAAAAGAAGGGAACAGAAGAGTCTAGGAGGTACTTTCCTCCCCGATCACCAGTGGCAGTTGTGCCACACAAAAGGGAAAGATTCAAAGGGTTAAGGAGTGGGGAGAAGGAAAAAGAAAGAGGCAGAGCAATAGGGTTAGGAAGAGACAGAGAAAAGACAGGCTCTGTTATAAATCTGCGGTCTCTAGTCGGTAACTGGGAAGTTACAAAATAAAAACACAAAACAAAATAAATTTAGCTAAAGAGAGAATGTCTTTAAAAATTATTTTTAAAGAAAAAATTAGAAATTGGAGAAAAGGAAACCATCCCCACCAAACTCAACCAAATCTTATTTCCAGGACAGGTACAACCCTTTCTTTCTTTTTAAGAAAAGGAAAGTTTTCATTTTAGTTCAACAAAAATTTAAAAAGAAGAAGAAACAAGTCTAAAGAGGATAAAAGGGGGGTTAGGGAGGAAAAGGGGGGCAACACACGGCAAACCCAAAAAAAGAGACAATAAGAATGATATCTACCAGACAATGTAGTTTGTTTACCATAGCGTGTCCAATGCCTGAGTGCTTTGCGGAAGAGGGGGAAGAAAGGAAATTAAAAAATTGTGAACAGAACGATTGTTAATTAAAAAAACTAAAACAAAGATGAGTCGTTAGGGTGTTAGTACATTAGTCGGTTAGTAAAATGACACATTGCATGAATGATCTTGTGTTAGTTTTTCAAAAAAAGGCACCCAACACAGAAAAAGAGAGTGGGGAAGACAATGAGACCAGGACTCTATGGAAAACCTTGCCACCCGGGGCACCTCAGGGGAAGGGGTTGATTTCCACCTTGGCATTGTAAGTCCCCGCTTCTTCCAAATACCACTCCAACCAGACCTGACCCAGTTAGAGTTAGCACCATACTTACATTCCAAGATATCTTCTGAGTGAACACTACCCTGTGACCCTTCCCACCCCGTAATAAATACATTCCATCTGTCCTGAAAGAAAAGACCCCCCAATGTTTAGTTTCCCATATAGATAAACAGAGAGAAAGAGCTGAAATACCAATTGTTGTTTTTTGTTTGATGTTTGTTTTTTCACATCTGACTCTGGCTACATGGATAAACGATCATGAATTTTTCCTAGAAAGAGAAGAACTTAACACATTTACGGATCACACCTAGCATAGGAAGGCTATGTTGTGTGGCTTACTCAGGGCTTCTATAGGTCATTTTAAGACTTCTGTGGCCCCTAGATTTCTGTAGATGAGTGCCGTTCTGTTTTTTTTGGTTTTTGGTTGGGAGAAGGAGAGAGAACATTCTCCCTCTTCTTTCCTCTCAGTTTGGAACACTCAATGTCATTAGAATGTATTAGAAAAGTTGGAGTCTTAGATATTTTTACCCAGATGAGGTTAATATTCCATTTATTTTGCCAAGATGTTTCCTGATGGAATCTCTCTCCCCTTACTCCCCTTTAAAAGTGCTTTTCAAGCTTTTAAGCATTATCCTCAATGGACAGTAGGGAGGACATGATATGATAATCCCTAAAATTAGTCTCTTCATTGCTAATTTCAGATTTTAATTGCCAACACACCCTGAGCTGGGAGGCTAGTGGTCTGGGAGAATGGTAAGCCTAGTGTTGTGTGTATTATTTGACAAAATGGCATCTAGATGTAAAGTCATTCTTGTGATAGCTGTGACTTTAGGTTCAGACAGGGTCATGGACTCTCTTAATAATAATAATAATAATTAATAATAATACCCATTTGCTTCGCCCCAATATAGTACCTGCCCTTGGGCTCCACTTAGTTCAAAGATAGAAGCATAAGAAATGACTATAGAGGAAAAAATGGGGAGAGTTCTATTCCATCTGCCAGTGAATCTCCATGAAACCCCAGGAGAGCTTTCTTCAGATGATAACGTTCTGTCACAGGAGCCCTTCAACCTTACAGAAAGGTGGACAAGACTGCCAGCAAGTGGCTTGCAAAAGTTCATAAATCTATCACTGCTTAATTCGGAGAGACAGGTGCCTCCCACCCTTCACTGTATCCTAGGGAACTCACAAAGATGCTATAAATGTGTGTATAATGGGCAAAGTAATAATCTTTTCAGCATTGAAAAGATTGCAGTTGGAAAATCAACTCTGCTTTTCTGAGATTTCCATCTCTTTCAGTAAATTGAATGTGGCTTCACACATGCAGTTAGGAGTTGGATGAAGCCCAATTTAGATGCACTTTCCCACAAGAAATTAATATTCCTGGTGGCTCAGTGGTTAAAGTTCTTGGACGCTAGCTTCAAGGTCAGTTTGAATCCATGAACCACTCTGTGGGAGAAAGATGTGGCAGTCTGCTTCCAGAGATTTATACCCTTGGAAATCCTGTGGAGCAGTTCAACTCTCTATAAGGTCTTTATGAGTTGGAATCAATTCAATAGCAATGGGTTTTTTTTTTCTTTTCTTTTCTTTTCTTTTCCCTGCAAAGGAATATCTTCACACTGAGGGCCACTATAGCCTTATCTGGAACTGAGAGTGCTACTTAATGGCCTCCTTGGCACTAGACAGGCACAGTCACCTTTGAGATGGAATGTTGGCCTTGTAAATCATGTGCATGTCACAGCGAGTCTAGCACCCAGCCCATGGATGAGCTCATAATCCTTCTGGAACATAAGGTGCTTTGCATATTTAGCCACTACACATGGCTGGGGAGGATTGTAATCACCATTTTGCAAATGGAAATGGGTGTAGAAAGGTTAAATGGCTTCTCCAAGGGCATAGAGAGGAGTTGGGCTTTAGAATTGGCAACAAAAATCTCTCAGGCTGGCTTTTTGCTGGTCGACCTTCCTAACACAACACCACCAATATTTCAACTACAGTTTAGTTTTCCCTCTCAGTTTAGAGGACTTAATCGGGGCCCTATTCTGTTTTTAAAAAGTGTTTCTTAGTGGAAATAAAAGTGAGCCTTGCTCAAGCTAATTGGAATCATTCTAGAATGGTAAGAAAGGATATGGAGTGGGAGAGTTGGAGAAACAGACTGGCTGCTGAGAACTGTGGGCTGATTCTGCTCCCGAGTACATAAAAAGTCTCCCTTCAACTGACCATTGCCTAAAGGGTGTTATTGTGTACCTGCCCATCCAAGCTTTCAAAAGGTTACATTTCCACTGTTGGGTCTAGTCTCGGCAGCTCAAACATATCGAGCTTTATATGTTAGCAAATGGAAATGTGATGTGGATTTTCTTGGCTGTTGAGTTCTCCTCTGAGTGTATAGGGAAAGGAAGTGGGCATGGTGAAAGGAAACATCAGCAATAGGGTTCTTTGGCCTTGGAGGAAAAACAGAAAAAAAAAAAAACCAAAACATTGATTAAAAAATGCCCCATCTGGAGGACTCTAGGTCTTGTGTTACTTGGTATTTCAAATAGGATAGATTCTCCCAGCCAGGTAGCTTCCTCAGTGTACTTCAGTGTGCAAATGTGTGTTGAGGTTACTGTCTGTTTTCAGTGTGAGTAGCCCTATGCCATTAGTTTAGCTTTACTAAGGAGGCATGCTTTTATCAAACAGAAAACATATGTGAACACCTGTCAGTTCTTGTGCTTTCATGTTTGCATTTCAAGATGTTAAATCAATCATATTACGGAAGAACATTTGATAAGTACTTTCTGGCAATTTACATCATGTTTTCTGATTAATAAAGGATGAATGCTGTCCAACTGGGCTTAACGACAAATTCACAAGTAGACAGACAAACCAAGTGGAAATGGCAACCTGGAAAAGGCGGTGTCACAATCAACCTTGACTTTTATAGCAAAGTATTTCCCTTTACTGATTTGGGCTGGTGACGTCATATTGATATGATCATCATTATTAGTTACTAAGTTGAAAACAACTTCATTCGGCTCAGGCTCTCTGAGAGCGTGGTCACCTGACGGAGTTGCCTGCTCAGAATCGGCAAGCGATGGGAGTTCTCAAGCACGGACAGAACCAGGAAAGGCTGCTCCATAGTTGATTATTTATTTGGGTCCTTCCACTTTCCAGGCCTCACAGTCAACTGAAGAGTCTCGGAGGTAGAGACAGGGGTAATATAGTAGGAGCACAGCACCAAGGAACAGAGAAACAGAGGAATTCAGAAAAATTCCAACTAATTAATGCCAAGGCTAGAGGTTAAAATAACAAGAGAAAAAAAAAAAAAAAAAAGTAGGTGAAAGAAAAACAGGAAAAAGAAAAAGAGAAAAGAAGACTTTTTTGGAAGGAATTAAAATTATGGCATCATGGCAATGGCTAACTTAATTAAAAAGAAAAACATATATTCAAAGAATGAGGGAGATCTACCAAGCTGCCAAAACAGAACTCTGTTCCTAATTGAATTTAACAATAACATGATAAAATTCAAATGTAATTAAGAAAATGATAAAAAGGAAAGGGAATAAAAGGGATGAAAGTACTCATAAATTTTATTATCTACACAACTGATTTGTTTTTCTTAAAAAATAGGCATAAATGGAGAAATGAATATGAGGAGAAATATATTTTAATAATATCCTCATGAAATTGCAAAGATAGGGAGAAGGTTAGACTTTGACATATCCAAACCCGCATTTCTATTCTCTTCACCTCACCCGTCACCTGCTCCACACACTTCCTGCCCAACTACTTAAGAAGCACCTTGCCAGCAGGCACTCTCTCCCCTCAACCATTACCTGCCGGAGGTTGCGTGTCACTTTGACATCATGCCAGGCGTTGTCGTTGAACTTGCCATTCACGGGCTCCACAATGGCCTCAAAGGCCCCAGACCCCAGATTAATGACCAAGGAGACCGCGCCATCCTTCAGAGCCAGGTTGACATAGTCAGCAGACTTGCCCGTGTGCAGGATGAGCCCGTTACGCTGCCAGGTCTTAAAGGACAGGGTGATCTCATCACTGCTGCTCTGGATTGGGTTTTGAGACAGGTCATAGCACAGGTACTCTGAGCCCCGGAAAGTGGCCACATTCTCCTCTCGAGCTGTAAGAAAAGCAAAGAGGAAAGTGGTCAATACTTGGCTGTCTTGAGTCAGATCCATGCAAATACCTAGTGAACATGCTCCAAGGGCACTCTCTCTCCAACTCTTCCACCAGCATATATCTAAATACAAAGGGAGAATAGCAGAGAAGGGGACCACAGAGAAGCTATTTGTTGGCACAAGGATTGAAGACAAACAAGATTGTGCAGTAGAGCTTGCTGCCTTTCCTTCAAATTTCCTCAGAGAAAACCATTAAGGGTAATTTCATAGAAAATGGTGAAGTGAGGTATACATTGCTCCAGCTGCAGTGATTGCTTTTAAAAGCTTGTAGAAGAGCTGCTTTGGAATGGATAATTAACTGGTCTGACAAAGGGCTCTTTAGTGCTAGGTACTTTTTATTGACCAATAACTAAAAATCAATTACCCTGAAAGATTTGGCTCTGATTTCCATCCATCAATAACCTAGCTAACTTTGGTTTCTCTGGTAAAGTCCTGAGCCCAATGGAGCGTGACTAGGTTATCTGATAGGAAATTAGACCTGAGAAGATGATCAAGCCAGTTAGGAAAGAGGAACAGGAATGTTTTGACCACCCA